CACCCACACATCCACGCCCACACCCACACGCACACCCACCCACACCCCACACCCAGTTTCTTTATCCTTTAGTAGAGATGAATAGCTTTCTGATGACTTTTGTCTGATATTTTTCTTCGGATTATGATTGCTACTATTGTTAAAGTTTATGTTTGGTTACTGATTTGAAAATTACCCATTCTAAACGGTGTAAGTGTGGGCACCATGTAAAATATTATTTATACCACACCCACACCAACCCACCCATGCAGAAAGATCTCCAGTTATCTTGGAATGTTGATGTAGAATGTGAGCACGAATTGGGATGCTATTTCTAGCGATTATTCGATTTTGATCCAAAATTCGTTGTTTAGATTATTGACGAGTGTGCTTCACACAGCTTTTCGTATTCGAGTCGAGATTCGAATACCCTCTAGTTTTATTATTCGCACTCAAAATTAAGTATTCAAACAATATCAATACACTTCGAATTTATGTTTACTTTTGCGGAAATTAAATTACAGAACATTATTATGCTCATTTATAATTACTTAAAGCATAAAACAATCATTCCTGCAGTTATTTTAATAAGATGAAGAAAGATAGTATTTAACAGCTTTTCGATTTTTGTCTAGAATATTGCGTGAAACAACTGAAAAAGAAAGCAATACAATAAAGATCTGCCAAGTGTACTTATCATGAACTGAACTGTATAATTCTTTATTATTTTCAGATTGTTGATTCTCAGTTCTAGGTCAATTTCTAACTCATTTGCTTTTACGACAATTTAATATTCATCATTGATTCCATTCTTGAGATTTTTAAAACATTTACAAATCTAAAATAAGAAAGTAACGATATGTCTTATAATTTATATAGCGAGATAAAAACCACTTCATTCAAGGTCAACATGTTTTCTTCGTTGGAGAGTAGAAAAAGACTCATTTATGACATTTGAAAAAAATATTTGCTCATCGCTACATGAACGTTTGATAATTGTCGATAATGCACAGTTGACAAGAGATGGATATGTAATAGTACTTTTTATTTGACCTATTTCTCTGATATATACAATTTAAGACCTCTGTATAAAGTAGAATAAACTATATGCAATACATATGATACCACTCGATGAAACTTTTTCAGGCTTTTCAATAGAACTTTAATATGCGAGAATATAATGAAAAATATTTTTTTATATCGTAAAGTTGTTCAAACTGCTGACTCCTAGTTGGACTTTGTGATGTATACTATACTATTGAAATATAAAAAATAAATTTTTTTTGCATTATTTTGTCAGAAATCGTGAAACTCATCAAATCACAAAAGCATTTCAACATAAACTGAAAGACAAAAAGAAATACTATTCAATAACATTATACGATGCTTGTATACATGCTTTGGATGCATTACCTATATGTGTTCTTGTTAACTTACGTTTTCTATGTATGCATGATAGTATATCACCTGATATTCGTACTTTATCGGATATTGAAATTTTGATCGTTTTAAAGAAACTCCTCATTCACGTCCATTATGTGACTTACTTTGGTATGATCTAAGTGAGCAATTTGATGATATTGATGAAGAACAACCTGATTTTAAACCAAATGATGTTCGTGGTTGTGTAAATTTTTTTTCATATTATGCTTGTCAAGATTTGTTATTACGAAACAATCTTTTATCAATTATACGTGGACATAAAGTACAAAAAGATGGTGTGCGATTTTTTCGAAAATGATCTCGCACTAATTTTTTTGTACTTGTTTCTCTATTTTCAGCAACAAATTATTGTGATACACATAATAATGTTGCAGCTACACTTAGACTTGATGCAAATCAACATCTATCTGTTGTTCATATTGAAGTACATAGATATCCATTTGTTTTACCAAATTATGAGAATGGTAAAATAAATAAATGTTTCTCTTGTTGAATGACAGATTTTTACCTTATTATAGGATTTCAATTTGGTGAACGATTTATTGTTTATTATACAACTCATCTTCTTCTTTCTTTCACCTGAAGAATTGCCTGCGAAGATGGTCGAAAAGATAAAACGAGTGTGGAGTTATTAAATAAACAACGATTAATCACAGCCATGAATCAAACTTATATCCAATTGAAAAAAAACAAATAAAATTGCACTTGATCTACGTGGTCATACATCCTCTTATAAAGCTTATAAAGAATTATTAGATCGATCAGACATTCAAGCATTAGTTAATGAAGCTAAAAAA